TGGCCCCTGCCATGCCCTTGCCTCTCGACCTTCGCCTCCCCCAGGCCCAGGGCAGTGGAGCCAGCCACGGCCCCGACCCCCGAAGCCACGAGCAGGTGAGACCTGTCCTCCTCTTGTTGCCTTGTCGGGTGTCTTGTCACAGTGATGAAAAGTGTCCAACACAGGAAACCTGACTCAATTAAAAGTAAAACGCGCTGGACGGGGCCGCGTGGAGGGGCAGGCTGCATCCAGGCCCGGTGCTGGAGGACGGGGTGGGGGAGAGACGCCTGAGAGACCCGAGGGGTGCGGGGAGGCCCAGGGAGCGTGTGGTCTTGGTGGCATTTCAGCCTGCTGACCGCGAGGAGTGGGCGGTGACATCTCGGGGTTTGTGTGGCCCAAGGTAAAGGTGCTGGGCTCTGTCCTCCTGCCCTGCTCGGGCACTGGCTGCGGCCTGGGAGGGTGGCGAGGGTTGTCCTCGGCTCGCCCAGCTCTGCAGGGCAGGCCCCAGGGCAGGGCAATCCCTAGAGGTCACAGGGACACAGCCCTGAGCGTCCAAGCATAGAGTGCCGGGCTGTGCTCCCAGAGCTGCTGGAAGGTTCCGAGGGCCGAGGACTGGGTCCACCAGGGCTGCTCTGAGGACAGTGTGGAGTGGGCCTGCGCAAGCCCCTGACCTGGGCAGTAAGCAGTCCCCCTGGCGCAGTCCAGGGGGGCAGTGTGGGAGGCCAGGGTGCTGGGCTTTGAGTGTTCCTGGCTCAGCCCACCCGCCACATGCGTCTGCTGTGTGGGGTGACAGAGGGCACGAGGCAGTGTTCCTACGTCTCCAGCATCATCTCTTGTGATTATAAAAACTTTAGAAAAATATGATAAAAAAGTTCACACAGCCCTGAATGGGATGAAGAAAAGAGAAGTCCCTGGCCCCAGAGCCACTGCCCGTCCCCCGGAGAAGAGCTCGACTCTGGCTGCCGCTCTTTATCCTTACACCAACCAACTTATACGTGATGTCTGTGTGCGTTTGTGACTGGGTGTGCAAGTGTAGAGAGTGGCTCTGGGTGGTACCCGCTTGTTCTGTTCCTGGTCTGTCTGCTCTGCCCACACGGCCCCCTCCCGGGCCTCCCGGTTCTCTTGATTTGGTTTTGCCTGCCTTTGTTGGAGGTGAACTGACTATAAACAGAAATCAACGTATGCCTCCAGCTCCTCAGTTTCTCTGCTAAAAAATCCCTCAGAATCTAGATCTGCCCCATAACTTCATGACATCTACCGAACGACACTAAGATACAACCCTGGGCTACGACGAGGCGGATAGGCCTTCTTATTCGTCACCTGCAGACTCCTCCCATTGTGAGGAATGAGCTGTGGGCCCTGCCAACAGTTCCCTCCACCTTTGCCCGTCCCCTGGCTTCCGTCAGCCACGTCACCATCTCATCCCCTGTTTCCTCCTCTATGAAATGGGGACCCTGACTGCCCCTGTCCGGGGGTCGGGGAAATGAGTGTGCCCAGCTGGGTGTAGACCAGCACTCAGTGCCGCTCATGGCTAGCATGAAGGGGTGGTCAGACCTGGCCCCTGCTCTTTCCTCCAGTCTGTGACATTCCTTCCACTTATCTCCCCAGCTGTTTTATGGAGGCTTTACTTGATGTTGGCCATAATTTTTAATTTCCGGGAAACTCCTTCCCGTTCTTCTCTTTTTTTCCAGAGCGGCTTGCCCTGTTGCTTTATGGCTGCAATATCTGTTTCAATCTCTTTGAGGCTATGAATTCAATATTTTAACGTTCTCTTCTGTTGGGGGAGGGCTGCTGTCTGGACTCACCCTGGACCCCTCTCCTGTGCAATTGAGTTTCCTCCACGGCTGACCGTGCTGGCCTGACCTTCAGGTTTTCAACACGGGATCCAGCCGAGAGCCCAGGTGGCCCTGTGGGTCTCTGCCAAGTTCCCGTGACTGGGTTTGATCTCTTGGCTTTGCCCACGAAGGGAAGGTCGGCTACAGGTTTTGCACCTGTGGGGGGCATCTGTCAGCCATGCTGGTCTGCACAGATGGACTGACAGACAGGGTGGCACCCCTCTGCCCAGATGAGGTCGGGAGGTCTCCCCTCCAGGTGCATCTCTGTGTCTTTAGAAAGCAGAGCGGTGATTGGGGTCTTGGAAAGAGGAAGCTGTCGTGGGGTGGGTAGGCGAAGGCCTAGCTTTTGTTTCAAAACCTTTTTTGAGATAATTTTAGGCTTATCAAAGAGCTGGGAGAGGAAGAGCCCGGGGTGGCAGTGGAGCTGGGAGGAGACAGGAGGGCGTCCATAGCTGGCCGTCCCCATGGGGCATCGCATGGGCTCCCGGGACATCCATTCAAGCACTGCTGATGGCCTCTCAGCAGATGGGCACTGTCAGGCAGGGCGGGTGCCTTAAGGAGGGAGATGGCACTAGGACCTGGTCTCTGGGGGGAAGAGGACTAGGGAGGAGCAGCCGGGCCCAAGGACTCTGTGGCCAAGGCGCACAAGGAGTTCACGAGAGGTCTCATCCGGTGAGGTCAGGACAGAGGGGCTGGCCTTCAAGAGACGAATGCTGGACCGTGTCCACCCAGAGCCGGAGCCAGAAGTCATCGCTACAGAGAGAAGGTGTGAAAGGCAAGGAGGCATGAAGTCAGGCGTCTGCGCAGGAGGGGAGTCAGCTCCTGTGGCCCGGGTGGTCACTGGGACAAGGGGCAGGTAGACCATTTTTCTCTGGGTAGAGAACTTTCTGTATTTTCCTCCTGGTGAATGGACTGTATCTCTATAAGTAAATAATAATGATGATGATGATGTAAAGTGTGACCAAGTGGGGAGAACGTGAGTTGCCAAGCTAAGCTCCATTTTTCTGTGGGCAAAGTGGACCCAAGACTGATGTGGTGTTCCCCGCCCCTGCCTTAATTTGGACCTTAATATCCCCCAAAGGCCTATGTGTAGAGCTCGGTCCCCGGGTGGCACTATTGAAGGTGGTGGACCTTCAGGAGGTGGGGTTTAGAGAGCTACATGGCTGGGCGCACTCTCTATACCCTGGAGCTGGACGTGGGTGGTCAGCTCCGGTGCACACTGCTGTCAAGTGGCCTCCTTCTCACAGGCCACAAAGCTGTGGTGCTCCTGATCGTGGATTAGCACCTCTAAAATCACGAAAAGGAAAACAAAACAAAACCCCTTTCTCTTTGTAAGTTGACTTCTCCCAGGTATTTTGCTGCGGTGACCACACTGACCCACCCCCATCCCACGTGTCTCTATGCTGGATTAAATTTGAGCCCCTTCACTTGGAGAGGAACGTGGCCCCTCCCGCCCACCCTGAATGAAGAACCAGTTTGTAGGAAGGAACGTCCAAGAAACAGTTTATTCTCAACAAGGAACACAGACTTGACAGAGCCAGGAAATCCACTGTCCACAGGGCTGGTTCCACTCAGCTCCCACCTAGTGACTCAGCCCCATGAGAAATCCTAACGGCCCAGGGTCACAGTGAAGAGAGGGGCGGCCATTGTTTCCTGGAGGGGGCAGGATGGTGCTGGACGGGGACCAGAGACCAAGTAGTGAGCAGAACACAGACTGACGTGGGCAAAGCAGGCTCCACAGAGCCCCAGTCCCAGGGAGGAAAACAAAGACTTTTTTTCCTAAATAAAAATATAAAACCTTGTCATATGTTAAAATGTCCCTTAAGAATCTAAGGATGACCTGGACGGCCCCGAGGATCGATTTATCTCATGTAAAAATGAAAAATGGGAACCCCATAAAAAAGTAAAACAATCAAACTCTGCAGGGCGTATGGACATCAAAGCCTCGGGGAGAAGACACAAAGAATCCCAAAGGCGAGCCAGGCTGGACCCGCAGAAAACCACCCGGCCCACCCAGCCTGCACCAGGTCTCTCCAAATGACGATGGGGCTGCACTGACATGGATGATGGTGATCACAATGGTGGCATCCAGTGGGTCGTCCACTGTGCTGGGCCTGTCACGTGCAGGACCCCACTGTTGGTCCTTTTATTCCATTTTAAAGTGAGGAGACTGGCGCTCGGGTGATCATGTGCCTAGCCTGTGATCTTCTGGTTGGCCAGCAGCAGGGCTGGAATCTGCAGGCCAGCCTGACCATGCTCCAGCCTTCACTGCCAAGCCTCAGCATCTCCCAGGTCCGGGCAGGCTGCCCCTCACTAGTCCAGAAAGCAGTCTTTAGCAAAAACTTTCCTTTAGCACAGACTTTCCAAACATGCACAATTCCTAATACTGCAACAGGAAGCTGCCCATCAGGGCTGGTCAGGTACCCTCTGAACAGTGATGCCCACGAGCCCGTCTACAGCCCCCCTGGGAAGGAAGATGTGGGTGCATGAGGGGGTGGGAGTTCTGTGGCAGGGCTGAGTTTTGGGGGAGCCTGGTTGACACTGTGGGAATAAATGCTGACCAGTGACCTGACTCCAGCAAAGCAAAGGGCATTCAGAGGGGGCGGGGAGGAGGGAGTGAGACTGCTGAAGTTAGAGGTGGGAGGGTCTTCTGTGAACCCGGGAGGAGCACGGTGACCGTGGGGACCAGGCTGGTCTGCACGGTTCCAGAAGGCAGGGCGTCTGTGGCCAGCCGAGGATGTGAATGGAGACACGTCAGGGTTGCTCCAGGATTTGGGAGTAGAGTTGCCATAGGAGGGTGAATGCGTCCAGCATTTACGCTGTCCTCAGGGATGCTGTCTTCCAGAGTGCCATCTGACAAGCCAGGATGGGCCCAACTGCAAGGTCGCAATGGTCTCATTGCTTTGGGGAATGGGAGTGCACGTCAAAGATGAGATTATACGTTGTGTGTACAGACAACTTTACAAATGCCTAAGGTCTTGCATGTCTGTTATCCAACTGGATTCTCACAATGACCTTGTATCTGGAGGTGGGGCAGAGAGCTGTTTGACCCCTTTGGCAGATTCAGAAAACTGAGGCACAGAAGATGTGACTTGTCCAAGGTCACACAGCGAATCAGTGGGACGCAGGGACCAGAACCCAGACTTTCCAGCTCTAAGTCCAGGTCTCTTTCTGCATCTGATGTTTTCAGGGTGAGATGGGGCTCTGGGTGGCCAGGGCAGAGGTGCCTGTGGCCCACTGGGCACCTGCAGGTGGAAGCTTAGCTGCTGCAGCCCCGGGAGCAGGCGTGGGCCAGGATGTTGTTGTTGCACCCGTCCTGGAGCTTGCTCTGGGTCTGACTCACAGCTCGGCCTTCCGTGTCCAACATCTGGCCGCCTGGTCCCTGCTGCCGCCTGAGCCTGCAAACAAGAACAGCGTGGAGCTGCATTAGTGTTGAGGAGCTGGGGTGCAGCCGCAGGTTCAGGGGAGGCACCTGGGCAAGCACGGCCTTGGGCCCGCCTTCCTGCGAGGGGGGCAGGATGCTGTGCTCCACACGCCCTGTGACCTGCTGAACGCACAGAGCCTCGGCTTCTCTGTCTGAAATGGAGATGATAATCCCCATCTCTCAGCTCCCCGTGAAGAATACAGAGACTGCATAGAAATTCACCCAGTTCACAGCCAGCAAGGTGCTGGGTGAGCCCCCCAGCATGGTTCAGGGTGTCCCTGCTGAATGCCTGCTGAGGTGCCCCCGTCATGCCTGGGAGCGGGTGTACCCTGGCAAGCCAAACAGCCACGATCCCCGTCTTCACAGGGCGTAGTCTAAAGGGGGAGATGGTCACTAATCCAACAATCCCACAAGTAAATATCAAACAGTCAAACATGGACAGACAAAACATCCCGGGGTAATGTCAGGGACTGGATTCTGAACCCTGCATTTCTTCGCAGCTGGCCACCTGGCCATCGTCCGCGTATCTCAACAACCCTCCCTTTTTGATCTTCAAGTTCAGGTTCATCCTCTCCTGTACCACAGCTGCCACTGTCTGTGATTGGTGCAGGCCAGAGACAGAGTTGAGCCCTTCCCGGGGGGCAGTGAGGGATTTTAGAATGTCCCTCAACACCCGCTACTTGGGTCACATGGCTCAAGTTGTTGAGCTTCGTCTGAGCCTCAGTGTCCTCGTCTGAAGGTGGAGATTCTACTGGGGACTTGGCGGGAGGCTGGGGGTCGGAGAGCGTGTGTGAAGGGTCTTAATAGGGCTGGAAATGACACAGATGGCTCCTAGTTCTACCTTGTTGTTCCGCTGAGAGCAGCCTGACCGGACACTAGCGGGCTTCTGCCAGTCGGCCCAGAGCACGCTGTCAGTTACTGCTGTCCTCATGAAACTGATGTCAGCTTACGCAGCAAGTGTCTGTGTGTGCTTGTCACTTGCAGGGCACTGTGAGTGACCTCAGGACAAGCACAGCACAGCCCGTGCCTTGGGTGGCCACAGCTGTGCCTGTGAACGTGTGTGACAGTGTTGAGCAGAGCGTCTGTGACAGCGTAGGTCTTGGAGTGCGTCCTTTAGGTGACACGGAAGCACCAGGGGCAACACTGTCTCACAGGCCATGAGTTGTGGCTCCTGTCCCTTGCTCTGTCCCCACAAGGCCTGGGATGGGGGTCTGTTCCTCTGCTCCTGCAGCTCCTCAGGCAGGATGGCTGGCAAGTGGCCATGGCTAAGGCCCATCATCCTGGAGCAGACAGGACTGGGATGTGAGGCAGGGCCTCCTGGTCTGGCTCACAAGGTGATGCTGCAGAGTTCTCTGTACATGAAGGACAAATGAGCCCCATGGAGACGGTCTTTTAGTGCCCAGTCCTGGTGTTTGGGTGTTTGAGTATAGCAGGGCATGCCTACACAGCTCTTGTGGGGGGCCAGCGTGGCCCCCTCCAGACACGAGCTTCAGTAGTTATTACAAGACAGAGTCGAGACAGTGACACGGGGGCCCGTGAGTGTCAGGTGGGCTCTGAAATCTCGTGGGGCTCAGGAGAGACCTTCTGCAGGAGACAGCACTTGAGGTGGCCTTCAGGCACTAGATGGGCTTGTGATTGACCCGGTGGGTGAGTGAGGGGACATGAAGGCCAAGGCTGGGAAAGTGAAAGTAAGGACCAGGCCCTCCCGAGAGCTCGGGGCTTCAGCCATCCTCTGGGCCAGAGCCATCAGGAGGAGCAGCGGAGTCACTGAGAGCCGGGGGAGTGGGCCAAGTGCAGGAGCTCAAAGACGGGGGTCAGGTCCTTGCAGCTCAGTCCCAGGCTCCTGTCTGAGCAAGAGACATAATCAAGAAAGATACCCCCCTGTTGTGGACCTGGAACGTCCCCAAAGGCTCATTCAACTCAAGACTTGGTCCCCTGAGCAGCAGTGTTCAGGGATGGGGTGTTGGGTGGTGATTGGATCAGGAGGGCTCTGACCTCATCAGTGATTGACCCTTTGAAGGATCCGTGGCTCCGTGGATTACTGGGCCGTGGCTGTAACTGGGTGGTGGACCTGGCTGAGGGAGTGGGTCTTCCCCTTTCTCTTGCACTCTGCCCCCAGCAGCTATGAAGTGCGCAGCTTGGCCCCACCCTGGTCTTTTCCACGCTCTGAAGGAATTAGAAAAGCTCACGCTGCAAATGGGGATTTGTGAACCAAGACAAAGGCCCAAATCCATCACCCTGCACCAAGTGCTCACTTAGAGGACGCGCCTGCAGCCCAGGAATCTGACTCTGGAGGAAGTGGGGAGATTTTACACACACTACCAGTGGTAGCTCAATTCCATTCATGCAAATTGGCTGGTTATCTCCACAATGACAGGAACATTTAATTTATCAGGGAACTTATCAGATTAATCCTCATCTTTGTGACCAGAATCCTGAGTGATGGGTATGAGCGCCCTCCACCTCTGAACTCCAGCACTAAACGCCTGGGGGAAGTGCTCTGGGGGAGGACCCCGCTCAGCAGAGGGGCTCCGCAGGAGGACACGTTGCAGTTGGTAATGATCCAGGCTCGAGGCAGTTTGCAAAAGCGAAGCCCCACAGAGGAGAACAAGAGAATCAGTATTGGCAAGCAAACCAATCTCCACGCTCTGACCACGCCAGGATGGGTCCAGCTCAGCGCCACATCGTTCTTAGGCAACCAGCCACAGGTGAGGCCCCACCTCCCATTTGAGAGAGGCCGGCTTCTTTGTATGTTGCAGTTTAAAAGGCAAAAGTGTTTTGCAATGCTCTCCCGTGACCCACGTCACCGGCTGGTCTCACCTGACCCTGTGGTGTTGGGTGGAGGGCTGGAGGGAAGAGCAGAGTCCCGGCTCCGGCCAGGAGCTTGCCCTCTCCTCCAGCCTCTCTCCTCATCTGTACCCAGGGGACAACTGAGTCTCCTCAAAGAGAAACTGAGGGTCAGTAAGGCCTCCTCCTGACATGGCACCGATGACCCCCCACCCCCAGCTGGGTCTGTAGGCCTCATCCCGGACAGAGGTCAGGGCAGAAGCCCCTGAGGAGTGGTGGGTACCGATGGAACACGCAGGAGTGGATAGGAGATCAGGACCCAGGGTGGACGAAACAGGGCAGCAGGCTGAGGGGGGAGTCCAGCCCCCAGGATCTCGGGGAGCCAGAGGGGTCCTGTTATGGTGAGATAATGCAAGAAGGTTCGGAGGTGGAAGGACTGGGTCAGGAGAGCCGTGACCTAATCAGTGCATCGATTCCTGATGGGGATTAACGGGGTGTAACTGTGGGCAGGTAGGTGTGGCTGGAGGGGGCCTCACCAGGGACCTGCCTTGGGGGTATACATTTCATCCCTCATGAGCGGAGTCTCTCTGCTCCCTGGAGGCCAGTCCTGACCTGCCTTCCCCCACCACCTGTTCTGCCATGATGCTCTGCCTCACCTGAGGCCCAGAGCCATGGAGCCGGCCCTGCAGGGACGGAGACCCCTGAGACTGTGAGTCCCAGCTGAGCTCTGCCCCTCTGTGCTGTTGTCATCAGGTCTTTTGGTCACAGCAGTGAACAGGCTGATTAAAAGGCCCACAAGCCGGGAACCAGGGTGTGGACCCAGCACCTAGAATCGGCTGCTGTCTGGTTCAGGTCCCTCTTCCACTGGGCAGAGCCACAGAGTGCCATCTGAGGCCTCACAGCCCCAGCATGGTGACCAGCCAGGGGCAAGTGCCCAGCAAGGTATGCTGGAGGGATGGGGGTAGGTAAAGGCATTGGCGGCCAGCCTGCGCCTCACCCTCATGGCAGCAGTGTGCCCAGGCTAGGGGGCTGTCTCAGCATCCCCAGGGGAAAGGAGGTGGCTGTGATTAACCTGAGTACGCAGGGCGTCCTAGCGGGACAGGAATCGGGTTGCCAAGCTGGCAGCCCTGGTGGACTTTGGACGGTGTGAGCTCATGTGCCCTCGGGGCTGAAGGAGTCGGGACACGTACCCCTGGTCTTCAACAAATGAAAACAGTGTTTGACGCAGTGCTTACTGAGTGGCAGTGTAAGTCTGTACCTTAATCATTAGCAAACTCTCCTGCCGTCCTCACGATCCCATAGGACGAGGGGTCCAGTCGTTCCTCCTACAGGGCTCCTGGGCAGTAGGTCTCAACGCCCTGCTATCGTTTGGACCTGGAGTGACCCCCGAGGCTCATGTGTTGAAGGTTCGGTCCCCAGGGCAACAATGTCCAGAGAAAGGGCTTTGGGAGGTGATTGGATCACGAAGGCTCTGACTCCCTCAGTGGATTAATCCTGTGATGGTTCATGGCTGAGTGGACTGCAGGAGGTAGCGGAACTGTAGGAGGGGGACTTAGTTGTGGGGAGTGGGTCCTTGGTGGCTCTATTTGTCCCTGGACCCTTATCTCCACCCCTCACCCCCTGTCTCTCTCCCTCTCTGCTTCCTGGCAAAGCCATGTAGCCAGCCGTCTGAGCCCCCACATCCACCGTGATGGAAATGGTCCTCTGTAAGTAAATTCCACTTAGTGTTTCCTAAGGGGCTCTGAGGGGCACCACATCCTTCTAGTCCCTGATAAGATTTCTCTTCCTCAAGTAAACTCCACACGACTCGCTGTTTCCCTTTGAGGCTCCTCATTTACTGGGATGATCACCTGGTAGCAATTCTTACTTATCTCATAAATTCAATAAGAGCCCTTGGCCAGAAGCTGTAGGATTCTGTCTGCTTTATCCTGTGTGGCCTGAAGCAATATGTATTTGAAGAAGCCTTTGCAGGAAGCCAGCTGAACTGTGGGTGGGGGTGTGAGGTGGCAGAGCAGGGTTTGGTCGGAGTCTCCCTCACTCTGCCCCTTTGCTAATGAGATCCGCTCTGGAGAAAGGAAGGGGTGGCGGAGATGGGTTCTGAGTAGCCAGGGCTGGTTCTGTTGGCATCTACCCACCCGGGATCAGGAGGAACAGCGCCCACCCAAGGGGGAGAAAGGGACCAGAAAT